AATATGGAAAATTTATTAAAGACAAATTTTTTAACAATTTACTTATATTATGTGCCCATAATTATGAAAGTAGTCTAAATATATTTTGTTTTAAGATGTTGCTATTAAATTAATTGCTAGAAAATTTAATATTCTATTTAAAGTATATTTTTTATATTTTTGTATTTTATTTTTATATTTTTATATATATATTAAATTATAAGTTGCTATAAAAACTTATAATTCTATTTAAAATATATACTTTTTATATTTTTGTATTTTATTTTTATTAATATTAAATTGTGTCGCGTACAACAAACGTTAATAAAAAATTATTAGCAATTTTTATAAATTATTTACAGTAAAAATATCTATATTGGTCGTGACTTCAAACTTTCATATAAATATAAAAATATAAATAAAAGAAAAGAAAATATTTTCTATTGAACAATTTCGTTTGATTTTCACATTTTATTCGCGATATGTTTTAAGAAATGTACGTAACATTAGTTAAAATAAAAACTAAAAGTAATATAATTATATATATATAGTTAGTATAATATAGTAGATTCGCGAATCTTCGACGATCCGATTAACTAATGCTCTAACAAGTACACTGAAAGCAATCTCGCCCGAGGCAAATGCATTTTATTCCGATATCGAGTTAGAATCATCAACGCAGTTATTGCGCACCACTTCCAACGGAATGTATTTAATTATTATTGAATCTACCGTTTACGCCCTATGTGAGATAAATTTAGTAAAGGGATTAGAAATATATCAAGTTAATTGGTATACAGTAGAGAGTAACATTTTGTTAATAATAAATAATTATAATCTCTGGGATTATATCTTTGATCGATTTCGTACGTCCATCTAGTCCCCCCTCTCTCATTATAGAGAGAAAGGAGTGGGAGTTGTTATATTCCCCCTCTTCTTTTATACTCACTCCCCCACTCTCATACAAAACCATCACGTATTATTTAGCAACGGGGAAAATGATATTATACGATTTTAAATCAATGTATGCATATTTCGATTTATGTATATATAATCTCTCATATAAATAATGAAAAATAATAAATAATATAATATTATCATAATTGAATATCTGAAATATGGGAATACCGATGTTGAGAAGCATCATCGAAAAACGTGATTTTATTGGAAAATAAAATCATCGATTACACGATCAATTACGTTAGCGTATAATAATAATTATTATAATTATTATTTATTTATTTCTATCTTTATTTTTGTAAATTTATAATATGAATACGTGATCGTAGTTATTATTATTGTTATAATCATTATTTTGTACAGAAATATCATGCGTAGTGGACACGAAAATAATTTGCAAAACCTTTACGCATGAATATTATATGTATTTATTATATAGGGTGGGTCACAAGTTGTGTATCAGAGATTATAAGTGGTGTCTCAAATACGTTAGTTTAATTGGTAATTTTGTAATACTATTTGTTGCACGATTTTTGTCACACCCTTTATATAATATATTTTTTATCTATATACTTTATTATTAAAAAAGAACAAATGAAATAGCATTTAAAAAAAAAAATCATTGATTATATACATGATCAATAACGTTCGTATAAATATCGTTGTATCGATTAAAAAAAAGAAAAAATAATGTAAAATACAAACATCTGTGAGTCTCGTTATCATCATCATCATCATCATCATCATCATCATCATAATCATCGTCGTCGTAATTATGATTATTATTTTTGTACAGAAATATCGCGTGAAAATATACGTACTCGAGAATAAATTGAAAATCCGTGCCACATACACACTTATGTATTATACGTATGTTATATACCGTATGTATATAATGTATGGTATATCAGTAAAGAATATTTTGTTCTCTCTTTATACACACATGTACAATTCTACATTATAAAATTTCATATGGGAATATGTAAAATATACTAACTATACCCCGTCACGCGTTACTATAGCTCAGTCTGATTTAATAAAATAGAAAAAAAAAAGAAAGAAGAAAAGTATAGATAAAAGTTAGGTTATGTTCAAATGTTTCGCGTACTCACCGAAATCTATGGCCAGCAGATGGTGCTGATTACTCGTATCTTTGTTTTTGTTTTTATTATTGAATTAATTGTTATTATAAATAAATTAATGTAATAAAAACATTAAAACTTGTGGGATTTAGTATTTGCGACAATGAACATCCAAGTTCTTAATGCCAATTAATTATAATAATAAAATTAATAATAAAAACATACCTGTATGCAAATGCAACTTTGTATTCGTTAAAATTTCAAAACAATCGATAAAGTATTTTTGGATATTAGAGGTTAGGAACAAACGAAATCTATATTTTTATATATTATATAGATTTTTGTTAAATTAATTAATTATGATATAAATAAATTAATGTGTGATAATAAAAAACATAACTGTATATGAATGCAACGTTGAGTCAAAATTTCAAAACAATCAATAAAGTAGTACTTTCGGAAATTAGAGGTTAGGGACAAACAAAATCTTAATTTTTATATATATAAATTTTTATTAAATTAATTAAGTATTTGATAAATAAATTAATGTAATAGAAACCTAGTTGTATGCGAATGCAACGTTGTGTTAAAATTTCAAAACAATCGATAAAGTATTTTTGGATATTTGAGGTTAGAAACTAACAAAATCTAAATTTAAATATATATATAAATTTTTATTAAATTATTCAAGTTAATTAAATTTATTTGCATACAGGTATATGCAAATGCAACATTGTATTCGTTAAAATTTCAAAACAATCGATAAAGTATTTTTAGATATTTGAGGTTAGGAACAAACGAAATCTACATTTTTATATATATATAGAGAGATATGATGATGAGTGGAAGATGGGGGGTGGTATATAGAAAGGAAGGTATGTGTATTTTGAAGTATATTGAAATTTTTTGTTGTCAGTATGAATGCATATACATATGCATATACATACATATGTATGTAGGATACGTATTATTATTGAACGTTTTGCAGGCACGTGTGTTATTATATGGTGCGTTTATATACGCGTCATACGTAGAGATGATGTTCATCGTCGTTGTCGTTGTCGTTGTCATGTATTATAGTATAGTATAGTGAAAGCAACGGAAGTCGAGAGTACTCACTGAACATCATTGAAAGTGCTCGAGGCAATCGCAATCTGGCCGACCCTTGTGCGTCTATTTCGGTCAATTTAACGGCATCGGGTGGTGGACAATTGAAACGACGAGACGGTGTGTGTTGGTGGTGGTGAAAAAGAATGCGAGATCAGCATCGGTTAGAAGAGAGCTATCGTTACGTGACCCTTTTCAAAGAATTCCTCTTATCATTTCACTTTCTTTTTCATTGATTCGCTCATTCACCACTTCACTCTATTTCTATCATTCTTTTTTCTTTTTTTTTTTAATTTTTATCCATACAAAATATTGGGTATAAAGTTTTTTAGAAAAATTGTACGAGCTTATTTGTTTGTTTATTTTTTTTTCTATCTTGTTTATAATAATATTTTCTACTTATTTTATTTTTTTTGTTTAATATTATTAATCTATGATGTGTTAGGTTTTTTTTTAATCTCATTGAAGTATTGGAAAATTTGATTAATAATTATTGGAAGAAGAAAATTATTTTTCTTATCACCTCTCGTATATTGGATTCTTCATTCTGTAATATCGTAATTTTTAATATTAAAAATAATTGTTATTATTTATTCATATTAAAATACTTAAAAGTATTATAGCAAATCAAATACTTTATGTGATGCTTTATATCTCTCTGTTACAATTTTATGCAATATAAGTTTGTAATTAATAAAAACAAAAAAAAAAAAGAAAATACATATTATAAACTTTGATTTATTATTTGTTTGATAAAAACAGGTATTGCGTTATTTTAAATTTAAAATTACAAAAATAAATTTGTACATTTACTCATTGGTTGTTTCAATAAAGAAATATGAAATATGGTTTGGAGTGTAGAAAACTTTTAGTACGATATTCAACTTTGTCGAGTTACAAACGATATTTAATGACAGTATCCATCATACCATAAATTTTTGATTTATTTCCTTTACGAAAGGTAATTTATGTATCACGTACACATTGAATATAAATACGTTACATACCAGAATAAAATAAATGATAACAAAGAAATAGGTCGTACATTTTTTTTTTTTTGGAATTATTATTATTCCTTTTTCTTTTTCACGTAAAATATCTCGGTGTTGAGATACGTAATTAAAAGTATTTAATTAATTTCATTAACGAATATTTCTCTATACAAGATGAAGTAATATAGATACAAGTAAGTATGTTTCAAAATAGAAATACTCATTAAAGCTGATGAAAACTGTTTCGTTGAAAAGAAAATCGTCGAATTTTGTCATTAAAATTTCAACCAATTGTAACATTTAAAATGAATAAAAAAAAAAAAAAAAACATAAAATAATCTCAAATAACAATCTATAATAAATATCTCTAATATAATATTTAAAGTATATATAATACTTGTTAATATAAATATTAATATAATTACATATATTATACATATAACAAAATAAATAATAAAATAATATAATATACAATAATTAAAGAAAATAATTATAATAAATATGTAATTTTGTATTTAGGGTATATATAATTATTTATATTATAAATATTCATTTTTATTTTACACATATTACATATTATAAAAAAAAAAAAAAATTGTATAATAATATAATACACAATAATTATAATAAATAACTTATTTTTTTTTTATCATAGCTTCATTTGTATTTACTATATTAGTAAATAATTATTATAATAAAAAAATATATTATACTATTTATATTATTATTATTATTATATAGTACAGTATAGTATAATATAATAATATATATAATATTTATTAATAAAAAAAATATATATAGTTAATAATAATTTTTTTATAATAAATATATTTCACCACTATTTTCTCTAATAAATAACCAAACCACTTCTTTGTTTAAGATATTGACGAGTGTTCGATTGACAACGGGGGTTGCAAGGAAGTATGTGAAAACACAGACGGCAGTTTCTTCTGTGCTTGCGACGGAGATGAAAAAACACTCTCTTCCGATGGAAAAACTTGCATGAGTAAGTTTTCATTTATCCATCCTTCACTTTTTCTTCTCTCTTTCTCAAACACACTACACTCTAGTTCAAACTGTACAATAATTTTCTTCAAGAACCCGAATATGATTTCCACTTTTCGTTTGACACGGAAAGAAGGAGGGGGTTAGATTGGAAGGGCTGAGAGGAGTGGGTGCAGAAACCCATGCATCACTCTGGCTCTGAAAATACCACCATAATGTACAACGATATAGAAATGGTGTTGGGTGGGTGGGTTAGGTGAACAAGGAAAGGTGAGATGGAAAGCCTAGCTGCTGCTACATTGTGAGAGAAAACATTTTAACTCCCATCTCACCCCCTTCAAATACCCCACCCCCAACCCCCTACCCTTTCCCCGATGCACTACCACAACTACTCTCTTCTCGTTCATTCTCTCCCTCTTTCATTCTCTTTAGGTTTGAGTACGTACATCGTATAATAACGTATCGCGGAATAAATTTTCTTACAAGGTTGGTTTGATAAACGACCTTGTGCTTTTACGATGAATACCAGGGGTGGTATGGGTACCATGATCGAGCCGTATAATCTAGCTTGAACAATATCCCGGGGCAGTGATAAATTTTGTATTGCAACGTTTAATCGATGCGTTAGGCTCGTATACATACATACATACATGCATTACATGTATTTATGTATGTATGTATGTACATGTATATTTCTATCTATCTCTCTCTCTCTCTCTCTTAATTTCTGTTTAGACGTATATCTCTATCTTTCTTTGACACAGATTTGTTATCATTGGTTAAAGCTTTATGGGTTTGTAATGGGCTAAATAAAGGCTTTCAGTTGTTGCTAAGTTTTAATAAATATTTATGAATTAATTAATAATTAATTATGTATGATATTTACAAAAGTGGTAAAAGGTTTATAATGTGATTTGGAAAAATATATAATTAAATATATATTATTAATAGAATAAATTTAATAATATAAAATAATAAATAGAAAATATAAAAAATTATTTATTAATATATTATAAAATTATATTATATTTCGTTGTATTATTTTCATTTAAATTTATAATCATCATAGGTAGAAAATTATCAATGGAATTTCATTTGAAAGCTTAGAACTCGTTAGTAATATATATATATGTATATTCGTTATGAAAAATCTTTTGTTAATCTCTTTGAGGATGGTTATTGGAAAAGGAACATTTTGCAATGAATATTATAGATCATTAGGTAATAAACGTATTGAATTTCTCGATATTCTATGTGAATTTGATATAGAAATGACTGGAATTGTTGAATCGTAGTGGATGAATATATTCGATTTCTATTCATAAAGGGATGAAAAATGAGAGAAAGGGAATAGATAGATAAAAAGAGAGAGAGAGAGAGAGAGAGAGAGAGTGAGAGAGAAAGAGATATCGAGTAGTGGAAAACGGATGTTCAGATTGAACAAAAATTGATCGAATAATATAAGAGATATAAATAAAAAAAAAATATATTTGTAACAAACAAATTTTTCAACTAACAAATATTCTCGGTATTTTTCACTTTAAATTTGTCAAAATAAAATGTAAAAATAAAATAATATTGGAAACAAAAATAAATTTTAAAATATAATTAATTAATTACAATTAAACATATATTATATAAATATTATAATTTACAATTTAATTATATTATTTTTTTGTTAATTAATTAATTATAATATTTTGAATGAATATTAAAATGTTGAACCAAAAATAAATTAAAATATATTTCAATAATAATTTAATTATTTTATTTATTATTATTTTTTTAATTAATTAATTATAATGTTTTGAATGATACACACATACATACATACATAACACACACACAATATGTGTCACGATTAATTATTAACGATGTGTATAATATAATTTGATTGATTTTCTTTCTCAGATATAGACAACGTTGTTTGTCCACCATTAAATCCTGCGGGAAGGGGTTACCTGATGTGTTCACGAATGGCTGGACCAAAATCATGGCGAGGTAGACGAAAGATAACAAATCATCCTGGTACCAAATGTTTCCTCAAATGTCCTCATGGTTATCAGCTTCATGGGGAATACGAGCTTACTTGTCAATCCGATGGTAATTGGGATGGTCCGAAACATGGTGAATGTGTTAGTAAGTAACTTTCATATTATTTTTCTCTGCATAAAGTTTATAGTGTTATCATGCATTTATTTTGGTGGTATATGTACGTTTATTTGACAGATTAGAATCCTGTATAAAAGTTGCATTTAAAATACTTGTCAAAAAAATCTTCAAATTGACATATTGTTTTTTTTTTATTGAAAAAATGCGATACGCAAATAATTCGAATTTTTTTTAAATTTAACATTTTAAAATTCACTTTTGTATATTTCTTTTTCTATGTAAGGTTTTTAATATTGTTATGAGGTTATTATGGTGGTATACGTACGTAAAAATCTTTAGATTGACACATTATTAATATCAATTTATAACATTAACTCTTTGAGTGCTATGGACGCATATATGCGTTTGGTAAAAATTACTAACTTGATTGTTCGAAGCATATATACGTGTTTGTTATAATATTAATGTAAAATAATTTAATATTTATACTAATATAATTAAATTATATTCACAAACAATAATTTTAATTATTAAATATAATTTATTATTAGAATCTATTTAATAATAAATTATTTTCTACCTACAAAACATTTTAGTTAAAAGTATTCAGCACTCAAAGGGTAAATTAATGTACTTATGTTATAGTTCGTTGTTTATTAAACAAGATTTTCCTCTATAAAAATTACTAATACACTTTAATCGTACAATTATTATTACAATTAGAATGAAAATTTCTCAAATATTTCAATTTTACGATCAAAATTTCGTTAGAAATCCATTGTTCATTTTTTTTTTTTTTCAATCGATCATTTTATAATACATCTGCCTATTTTTTCCATTATTTTTTATTTTATCATTTACCGATTTATCCAGTACGCGGATTTCACCAGTATCTCAAAATTCTATCTACGAAATTCTATCTACGAAATTCTATCTACAAAAAAGAAAAAACAGAAAAAAAAATTTGTACCAACCAAAAAAAAATTCATATTAAATTTTACAGATATTTTGTTTGTGTGACACGTGCAAAGATCTGTTGTAACGTTAGTTGAAATAAAACCAAAACAAAATCAAAAACAAATAAAATGAATGTTTCAAAAAAGATTTTATTTGGTGGGGGTGGTGGATGGGTGGAGAATGAATGGGAGCGGGTGGTTATTTTGCTTGTATTTGTTAGCCTACGTTTTGTTCCTATTTTTGTTTTGTATGTATGTAAGTGTACACGCGCTCATAACACGTATATATACACACACACACACACACACACACACAAACCTCATACTGATAGGATATATATCGTAGTTTACAGAAACGTCACGTGATACCTATTCTAGATCGAGTTAGTTCAACGTGTGGTCATAGTCCGTGTTGCATACGAAAATAATCGACGATACAGACTCTACCC